ACCCTAACCCTAACCCTAACCCTAACCCTAACCCTAACCCTAACCCTAACCCTAACCCTAACCCTAACCCTAACCCTAACCCTAACCCTAACCCTAACCTCAGCGCATCTCCCTGCTTGTGCGCACTGGCCACCACTAAGCGCTCTTCCAGCGCCTGCTCCACATCATTATGGCGCACCCCAGCGCTGCCTGCAAGAGCGCCCAACACTGCCACCTCCACATCACTACAGCGCACTTGCCAGCCTGCGCACTTCAACCTCAGCTCAGCGCTCTTCCAGCGCTCTTGCATCTCCCCCCAGTGCCCCTTGGTGCACTTCATTCAGTGCTTCTCACCGCACTTGGCACTTTGAAAGCTCATAACTCCATGAGTTTGCAACCCCAGCCCAAACCCTTCACACATGCTAAATGACTCCTTGGACCCTCTCCAAAACCCTGCTAGGGTCACATAAACTCCCAAATTTCAGAGGCGCCACCAGCCAAAATCACCCCGCACTTGCGCTTTGCGCCTCCTCACGCAAAAACGGCTATCGAAAATCCAAAACTTTTCTGCCACAAGACACTCCTCAATGTGCTCTACAAACGCGCATGGCAGCGCATATGGCGCGCGCATGGCGCGCGCGTATGGCATGCGTTGAGTCTTGTGTATGCGCCGCGTTTACGGCGTGAAAGTGGGAGTCTGTGGGGCCGCAAACAGCGTATGGTGCGCGTATGGCGCGTATGGCACGGATCTGTCTGCGTACTTTTACGGCGTAAAAGTGAAAGTCTGCAGATCTGCAGACGTCCGGATGCGTTTTTTGGCGGGGGATTTGGCTGCGCATTCACTTTTGCGCCGTAAAAGTCTCGGGGCATATATATAGGCGGGGCTTTTTTAACCTCTGCAGAATTCCGCACTCAGCTTTTGTCGGGGCTTTTGTCTGCGCATCCGCTTTCGCGCCGTGTAAGTCTTGGGGCATATATGTATGTATATATTTTTGTTGCGTCTAGACTGTTTGCGCTTCCGCTTCTATGCGCTTGGTATTGTGGGGCATATACATGGGACAACCTTGTAACCGTGACGCTGTTGGCAAGCTCTGCAACATCGTTGCACCATTCATAGCATCTACCACTGCCAACCTACTATTGGCTCTTCCAAGCAGTGATTTCTCATCTTGACCACTTGGGTAATGTTGCAACGAGCATCAAAGCTGCTTAGCGCTTCTTATCGCTTTGCTCGCGCATGAGCGCCTTTGCTGATCGTTCTACAGAAATGGTCGGAGTTTCGAAGAAACTGTGCTGCGCGCCAGTGTCGGAGTTTTTGAGGAACCTGTGCAGACGCGCCCAGCTCAACAACAAAAAGTGCGCCATCTCGGGTTCGAACCAAGGACCTTGAGGATCCGCGTCGCGCCGGGGTCGAACCCCGTGCCGATCGGAATGATATTGAATAACTTCAATCTCACGCTCTCCCAACTGAGCTAATGCCGCCCTGCCAATCTTTCCACTTTACGTTGAATATATCCTTGACCGATCAAATTGCTGGCCGAGTTGCTGTCGCTGGCGCGGACTGATCATGTCCGCATAGCCCGCGGCCCGCGCCCGCGCGCGCGCGCGGAAGAGTACGAACGCGAGGCCTCGGAGACGATTCGTCTTCACATTGGTAGAGTCTGTGAGTCGATTGTGTATGGTGATGCCCGAACGATGCAAAGGCTGGAATTGCGCAGCGTTCCGCAACGTGCGCACGACGAACCTCGGATTCGTAGGCACATGCATGCTTCCCGCTTGCAGACCTTGAAAGCATCCATGTCGAGCAGCGCGTTTACTTTCTTCCGCAGCGCTGCGACTTGCTCCCATGTTGCGCGCTTCGCTGAAGCTGGCTTGACCGATACAAGAACGACACCTTGTCAGCAGCATCGCATCACATACACAATCAGCCAACAGACTGTGCGAGTACGTGCTACGCCACTTTAAAGGTCGATCGCCTTTTTCGCGCGTCGAATGCAGGAACGCGGGAGCTTGCACACGTCGATGATTTTGCGAGCCCGTCCACGTATCATGTGCACTTTCTGCTTGAGCGTATCTGATACATGTGATGGCCCCGAGTGCACCGCACGAACTGCTCATGCACCGTGCTTTGCAGTCAAGCTTCGATGCGCTTTGAATGCCCAAGCTAGCCCAATGATGCCTCCGAGCAGCGCGGACAGGGAGAAAGCCATGAGCTCGTACGTCATCTTGTCTTCGGTAGACTCGGGTAGACGCGCTTGAATGCTCGACGGCAGGTGCTGGAGCACGCCACCGATGAGAAAGATGAGGGTGAAGCCGAGTCGGTCGAGATGAATAATGTAAGACGCGATGGTGAACATGGTAGCCCAATACTGGTGTCTAGCGAATTCGCGCCTTCGAGCCGCTTGCAGGCTTAGCAGCAACGTCGGAGCTTGCAGGGCGGTGACTAGCAGAAGATCCTGATCGAAGGTCGGATAGATGAGCCAGGGATGTCCAGGCACGTGGTGCACGGTCAGCAGGCCCTTTTCGGAGTGGGAAGTGCCCCGCACCAAGAATCCCAGGCCGGTAGTCATTAGCAAAGCGGAAATGGAAAAGACGACGTATCCGTTCATTTTGTGAAAGCTTGGATAGCGAGCACGAATCAGGGAAGAGTGTTGCAAGGGTACGCAGCACGTCCAGATGAATGCTGGAATCGCATGCCCCCAACGATAATATGTTGGCTGATTTTGGACGCGATCCTCCAAGAAGAGGCGGTCATCCTGCCACGTGATGCGAGATTGACGCCTTTTAGCTGCCGCTGCCGCTGCCCGCCACGCCGCGCGCGACCACAGTCACTCACGGCTTCTCGAAACGTCAGCAAGAATGGAAAGCTGATGGATTCCTGGTCCATCCATCCAATTCGGCGATAGATCCATCTGTACGGGCTGGATGGGCTAGAAAGCAGACTAGGAAAGCCATGCAGGAAGAGCAATGCAGCCATGATAGCGGCAGCTAGGACGGAAATGGTCGGGCGTGCTGCCGAGTGCTTCGAAGTCCAGCGATGCTCTTTTGTGCTCGTTACGGTCTCGCTCTGGTCTGGCCATTGATTCATTGCGACGGACGAAATGCGGCGAATGAGCCATTTCGGGGCCAGTCGCAAACTAAAAGCTGTAATGTTGTTGTGTGCGCCTGGAATGACGACTGCAGTGTTGCTCATAAAACCGTCCATTCCTGCGCGAGCGACTAACTCTGCAGATGTCCAAGGAACAAGCACTTTGGAGGGTCTTCCGCCGTCCTGTCATTCAAGGAGCGTAAGTCCCAGTGACAGGTGCGGAGAGCAGACCGGGCATGGACGTACCAAGGACCAAAGCGCAGATCTAGTCGGGCCGGGCAGTACGCAAGTGACGTGCACTTCCGTCCCCTGAACACGCTGCTCGTGGTGGATGGATTCCGTTAGAGACAAGACGTATGCTTTGCCAGCAGCGTATGCAGCCATGGCAGGGACCGGCATAAGACCTGAGGAGCGCACAACGTTAGCAGCGTGGGCAGGTGCGTCATTCCATCCCCACGCTCGACGCACCAGCGATGCTCGAAAGGGTGACAAGGCCGACGGGGCTTTCGCGCAAGTTGTAAGCCGCTCGGAGACGCGCCTCTTTCTTCAATCGCGGTAAAAAGATTTGAATGACGTCTGTCAGACCAACGACATTTAGGTCATTCATCTGCGGGGGCAAGTAGGACGTCAGCCGTGTCGGGCAACGCTAAGCGCGCGCAAATGCGGCAAAGAGCGCACAGTGCGCGTTCGTGCCCAATCTTGATCTTCAAACGGACCTGCGACCGCGGTCCCGGCGTTCAAGATGAGCAGCGTTACTGGCAGATCCTGGACAGCAGGGACAGGACGCATAAGCCCAGAGCAGTGCAATTCTTCTCCGACAGTCTCACCTTTGTCAAATTCTGCAGGGCCTGCGCAGCGTTCGGCGCTGCGAGATCCAATGCTATGCTTTGCACAGAGAAGCTCCGTACCAAGTCACCCTTGGCGGTGAACAAGCGCTGCTCGATGTCCTTCTGGGCGTCATTGAGCTTCTTGACGTTGCGCGCGACGAGGATGATGTTGTGTGTTGCACGTGATGCTAGCTCGTAAGCAAAAGCCGCCCCAATGCCTTCGGATCCGCCAGTAATGATGGCGTAGGGCAGCGCAGCCTCTGGACTCGCTTTCTGCTGTCTTGTCATCATGCGGAGTCCACGTAACGCCGGAGTCGATAGGGAAAGGAAGGCGGCAACTTTTGGGACACGACCAGAGTGTGAGGTGATGTCGAGCGTGTGCTGTTTTTATAAGATTCTCGACTGGGCTCGTCGTCACCAAGCGCAAGGCGCGACATCGATCAGTCGGCCGTAGCACGACTGTCTAGCAAGCTCATTGCTAATCCTTGCCGCCTTTCGCGGTTCGTTGGCTCGCTGCCCTAGCGAGGCTGCGTCATCGCGTCGTCCTGCTTCACCATCTGACTCAAGTCTGTCGCTGCTTGCTGACGTCGCACCAGTGGATGACGTTCAGGTGCTAATAAAGACTCGTGACTGCCATGTGAGCTTGAAGAACGTCAGTTTTCGGTGGAGAACCCCGCGCGCGCTCCCTTTGCAGAGTCGAGTCGTCGAGTGTTTCACGCGCGCAGGGAGATTTGCCTGCTGCGCAGCTCGCAAAGCCGCGCGTCGGCTTTATAATATCTCCTCGCCGTCGTGCACCGGCAAAACGCGCAGAGAGGACCCTGCAGCATGCGCGCGTCCAAGTCCCTGAATCATTTACGCCTGGCACCTCTCCACGCGGGCATTTCGGACTTTGGCAGGTGCAGCTCGCTCGCTGCTCACGACTCACTCACTCGTCACTCAGCGTGACTGTAGATCCGACTGAGCATCTGCAAAGCGCCCGTTTGGTGGTTGACGGTGATACATCAGCAAAGAAGCTGAGGCTGACTCCGTCCGAAATGGTGCGAGAAAAGTCTACTTTACGACTTTGTTGAGGACAATCATCCTAGCGAGCAGTCAAGACGTCTTCGACCAGCAAAAGGTCCGCAAAATGGCACTGAATCGCAGCTGCGTACGCTGCCAGGAGAAGAAACAGCGTTGCAACGGCCAACACCCATGCTCGCGGTGCGTCAGATCGGACATTGCGCACCTCTGCGTGCGAGCACAGCGCAAGAAGCGATCAAGCAAAAGAGCAAGAGCGGGAGCGGAATCGGAATCGGATGCGGATGCTAGCCACCTCTTGACACCGAGCCCGTTCGATAGTAGTGCTGCGCCGGCGCCGAGATCCGACAATCAAGTCAATGACGAGGGCAATGAGTGCTCGTCTGGAGAATCGCAGCAATCTGCCGTCACCTTGTCCCCACCACCACCCAGTCTTCCGTCGACTGGCCGGTCTTCTACCGAAGCGAGACTTTCAGAGATGCGCTGCACTCGTACCCTGCTCGGCACGAGAGACGAGAGCCGGCGCTTGCTCAAGAGAGTCTTTCGGGACCGCTGCTTGATCCACATTCTCTACTGCATTGATCTGAATGATCTGCTGCGATTGCTTGACCGATGCATCGACGACTCGGATCCCTTGCAGTGGGATGAGCTTTGTCTGGTGCAGACGTCTCTAGCCGTCAGCCTCCAGGTGGCTCCAAGCAGTGTTTTGGCAGACTTGCACCACCGCCAGAGCGGACATTACGCTCGCGCAACCGCCCTGCAGTTGCACGAACGCGCGATGAGACTCGCGCACGAGCATCTGCTCGCTCGTCCATGCCGCTTTGTGGGACTACAAGCGCTGGTGGTACTCCTGCTGACGGACCTGGAAGATGAATGCACGCGTCATCGCATCTTCGACCACGCTGTTCGATGTGCACACACGCTTGGCTTGCATCAGCGCGGTAGCATGGCTGATCCGCCAACGCAGCGTGCAGAGGAGCTCGAAATTCGCTTGTGGTGAGTGACGCAGCCGTGACGTACTCCAATCTGAGTTGACGCGTCGACTGCTTACTCTTTACGCAGGTGGCACCTGGTCAGCAGAGATTGGATGGCAAGCTTCCATCGGCAATCCTACTCGATACACCCCCAGCACTTTAACGCGCGGCTTCCCGACGTCACTGATACGCAGACCAACGATCCGCTGGTCGGTTTCGTGCCTCTTTACATTGGTCTTGCGAAACTTGCTCGGCAGTTCTTCGATGCACGGCTCCACAGCGCGTCGGATCGAGCAGCAAGCGCCGCAAGCGTGGCAGAGGTGTGCCGATTCATGGATGCGCTCCCATCTCAGTACAGCCTTGCTGCTGACGCAGCTCGACTGAGACTGGAAATGGGCGACTTCGAAGCTGGCCGGCTTCAAGTACACCGATGGATGCTTCATCAACAAGTATTCCACTTGTGCCTCCGCACATCCAAACTTCGATTCGGCGAGAAAGTGCCTAGGCATCTGCGGGTATTTGGTTCGCACGTGCTTGAACTTCAAGATGAAATCAGAGGAATCTGTCCAGTCATCGACAATCTGAGAATGAACGTCACGAGCGTCGCGAGCGCTTGCACGGTGCTGATGCTCGATTTGATAGCCTCTTCCACCGCTCAAGTCACTTCGATGGAGCGTCAGCTGACTTTGAGCAAAGTTCGACTGGCCGTTCAGCAATGTCAAAGTGCAGACGAGGGTGACGAGAATGGTCCGATGGGACCAATCACGTGTCTGATCAGGACAGAAGAGCTTCTATGGAGCCACAAAATTGCAAGCGATTCAATGTTGCCAGGAATCGAGCTCGACGAGGAATCCGCTGCTGTTCGAGAAGGCGGGGGACAAGTGAACAACGCGCACCGTACCCCTCCCGTCTCTCAGACGCAGGGCCTCGGTGCGCCATGGGTGTCTTTCGATGGCTGCTTACCTCGAGCAGTCTCGCCCATGCAACGTGGGATGAGCGTAGCGACGTCTCCTTCACCCAGCTTTCTCCCCTCCGACTTTGGTATTAGTCCGCTCTTCTCTGCCGGACCGACATGGGCGGATCTGGAACCTTGGTTGGCGGATGTGCTTCAGACCACTGAAACACAGGGGCTCGCTGCTGCCCTGTCCGTCTCTGCGCACATGGCGCCTGAAACGTGAATGTGCGTCAGAGGAGATGAGCTGCACGCTGCGCAAACATCGACCCAACTTCGAGGGTCGCGCGCGCCTCGCGCCCATAAGCTCCAGCAGCAGCGGCGTCTTTGAATGAGCGCTCGTCCTCTGCGCAGCCCGGTGGGACCGCGCGCTCCACGCATGCATGATCTCTGCTGCTGCTGCTGCTGCTTGCTGCGCGCGGCACAAAGTCTGTCGGCATTATCTGCTGCTGGACCCCGCTGAGCGGTGGCAGATACGGCATGTCCGAATGAGCGGGTTTCAAAGCTGCCGGAGTCTGTGAGTGCGGATTGGCTGCTTGTCGTGACAACAGCTCTCGACGATCGGCTCTCTTGGATGCCACGTCGCTACGCTGTCGTCAGTGAACCCCACCAGCTTGCACACTCCAAGACACAATACTCAATCACGAGGCGCTCCTGTCAAGCCGGAGCGCCTTGGCTCATCACAACCACACCGTGCTCCCTTGCCGCCCATCATGGTGTCGAAAATGGAAGCGCTGCCAAGGGAACGCCTCTCGAAGGACATCATGACCACTGCTCGAGTGGTCGTCAGTCGCAGGTCATCTCTGGGCATCAATGTCCAGTATCACATCGTCGGACACGGACCCAAAAAGATGGTCTTTCTCCCAGGCTTGCTGAGCTCGAGCGAGACGTGAGTTGAGGGCAAAACACGAGCTGTGGGTTATCACATATCTCACCTCACTCGCATACTTTAGGTGGTCCATACAAGTGCGTGCACCATCACGATTGTTTTGCGTCGTTGAAAGAAAACTCAGAAACCAAACGCGTCACGCAAGATGAGCGAGTGCAGCTGCGACTTGTCCTTATCTTGTCTTTATATCGACTTGCGAGGCTCTGGAGGCAGCACTGCCCCTAAGGGTCGCTACAAGTGAGTTCAGCGTGCATTTCTGTCGGTCGCTTGGAGGCTGATTAGAGAGCTCCGGCGCACAGAACGAGTGAGCTAGCACAAGACGTACTGGAAGTATTGGATCATCTCGGAGGGCGGTGGATTCAGGATCGCAGTGTGCACCTCGTAGGAGAGACGTTTGGCGGTATGGTGGCGCTCGAGTGCGCCCGGCAGTGCGTGGACCGTTGGGCTAGCTTGGTCCTGCTGAGTACGCACAGCGGTCGCTCGTCTGGCAAAGGCTTGCTCGATACTTTACCTCCTGTACGTCAGCTGAACGTCCCTTTCTCTTTACGCACATCTCTGAGCTGCGCGATCGATCACCCTTTGAATAAACGCAGTGGACTGGGCAACGAGCAGTGGGCCAACTGCTCTTGCTCCAGTCAGCTGGCTGGGACGACGCAGCCACGAGAGCCGCGCTCTTTGTCAAGACACTCTTTCCCAAGAAGTGGCTCGACGAGATGGTAGAGCATGCGCGCACTCACCGCACTCGCAGGCACGTTATAATCGAGGTGTGCCGAGCTTGAGAGCTACAAGATGCACGAGCGACCTTGAGCTGATACATTTTGCACCCGACAGGCATTTCAGCTCAACGCCCGCAACACGACCAAGGTCAGCATACACGCAGCTGTAGGAAGAATAGCAGCGACGATGACGCATCACATTCCAGACAAGGATTTGAAAATGATCGGCGAGAGGGTGCCGTACGTGGCCATCGTTACGGGCGACGGTGAGCGAAGACGAAGTCCGCAACACGGTGCCCGACTCTTGGCTCACGTCTACACCCGTCTTGCGTCTTCGAGTAGACGACGACGTCATCAAACCTTGCAATTCGGTGCACCTCGCAAAGGTCATGTCCTCGGCCAAGTTGACGGTGCTCAAAGGCGTGGGTCACGCTGCGCACATTCAGTGAGTGCATCACTGTGGCGGTGGTGTAGAAAGTCTTTAATGACAGGCTTCGATGCGTCATCTTGACCGCTGCAGAAGTCCTTCCGCCATCGATCGAATCTTGAAAGAAGCAATTGCGAGTCAAAGCTGAAAAAGGGTGTCTCATTCAGTGGTCATCGTTTTGTGCGGCTCAGTGGGCCTCTTTCCTTGCCTTTCATATGAATTTACGCAGCCACGGGAAATGACAAGTACATAGAATGGAAGCTGGCCTGAGGAAGCGGTACGACTGTAGACAAGATTGCTGAGATGCCTGCAATGGATCGATGAGTGTCTGCGATGATCGCGTCGAGGGACGGACCGGATCAAACTACGTCTGCGCATTGGCTCGACAGCGCGAATCGTTTCTGGTTGATTGGCGAATCACGTGAGTGTCGACCCGCCGACAGCCAAGAGTCGTGAGCTGTTGCATATAAGATTCACGATTCACGATTCACGATGCTGACTCCGAAGAGGCAAATGAAAGTCTGATGAGTGTAGCAGTCGTGAGTCTGTAGTGTCGATTAGAGTCGCGAGTCAACGTCCTACACGCAACAAAGTCTAGAGTCAAGTTGTTGATGACTCTTGAGTCGCGCCAAGCCTGATGAGTCTTGAGTGCGTATTTGCACCGCGGCTATTCACGTGATTCTAACGTGACGCGCACGCCCGCGCGTTCAAAACAGCGGCCCGTGCATTTGCTGTGCAATCGCGCAGGGAGGGACACCGGCGGCCGCGACTCTTGATTGTGCTGGCTGGCTGGCTGGCTGGCTGGCTTGCGCGCATGGCTCGCTATGCATGCACGCGCACGCTCTGCCGATCCTTTGACTCGCTTCGTTCAGCCCATTCACATTCTGAGTCAAAGGAGTGCACAGCGCACACATCATCACAACCACCAGCTGCAGTCGTGAGTGCCGCGCTCTTATCGCTTCGCTGCGCTTCCGACTCCACAGCAGCTCGATCGCAGCGCTGCGCTCTTAGCCGACCGCTTTCGTCACAATCACAATGACGTGCTACGTGCACCGCCCCTGAGCGGCACCTCGGTCGCTCGCTCGCTGCGCACGCTACTCCGGGACGATCGCGGACAACCAGTCCGCCAGCCAGCCAGCATGAGGTGAGCAGTGAGGCTGGGTGGGGTTGATCGCGTGTGGTTCTCGTTGTTGCTCGCTTGTGTGTCCCGATTGTCTGCAGTCTCCTAGAATTCGGCAGCGACGTAGCGACGCCTCGCCGATCGCAGCGGGCTGGAGCTGTGCGAAGCATATACATGCGACCGGCTTGCCCGCGAGGAAACCATGTTAGCAGCAGCAACAGCGGTGCTGATGCGACGCACCATCCCGTGCGCGATGATGCAACAGACTACAGCGACAACTCTGAGCTGAGCGAGCTGTGCGAGCTGAGCGAGGTCTCTGATGAGCTCAACACACCACCCATCGAGGACAGGCGTGTGCCTCCGCCAGCACAAGAGAGGGGCGCCAAGCGGATCAAAAGAGAGGCGGAAGATGAGGCGGCGGAGGAGCACCCGAGCACGCAGGTGGAGTGGCCACCGGTCAAGATGGAGGCGGAGGCGACGGCGACGAGCGGGGCTTTCAGCTTGCCAAATGGTGAAGCGAGGTCGTGTGCTGGTGCGCAAGCAGACGAGGCTCGGCAGGGCCCACAAGGAGAGCTTTCGTCTGCCGAGGGGCCAGAGGCGGAAAATGCGCCGACACTAATGACTGCGGCCGCCTCTCAGGGCGATGTCGCCATCGCAAGCAAGACGGCGAGCACGGCTGAGGATAAAAGAAGGCAAGCTGGCAAGCTCAAGTCGCAGACGGCGCGGGCTGCCAAGAAGGCCATGATCGCCTTTGCTTCCACAGAGCACGTCGAGGCGCGATTGCGACCTGGCGCTGCTGAGCGTTGGGCCAGCGAGTACCGGCGGTTGCGAGGCGAGGCATCGGATCGGAACCGTATGATCCTCCCACAGCCGCCTCGGAGCCTGCTCCAAAGCGAGTATCTGCACGGCGGCTACAGGCCAGAGCTCGACAAATGCCAGCTTCTCTATCACGTGGTGGATGGGTACATGCCTTCATCCATCTCTGACAGCTACCCGCTCTATATCCCATACCGACTGGTCGATGAGGAGGAAAAGGTGCTGATGCAAAGCATGTGTCCGTTGCCAGAAGAAAGAAAGGAAAGGGAGATGAAGCGAATGTTGATGTACGGCAAGGATCTGCTTGAGAAGGCTTTCGGAGGAGGGGCGAGCCGAGATTCTGCTGCAGCAGCGAGGCTGGAGCTTGGCATACGCTGTCCCCCATCCTCCTCGGCCCTCTCACCATCCAGCGATTTGGCTCTGCCGGAGGATGAGGAGGAGGAAGCGCCAGAAGTGTCGAGCGAGCAGGAAGCGATCAGATGTGCGAGGATGGCGCTTTGCATGTGGTGGAGCGTCTTTCTCAGACGCTATGCGGTGCCCTTTGTGTCCCATCAGATTCGGCTACCGCCAGGCGAGCTCGACCTTGCGAATGGAACGCGCGAATGCGAGGCGAGCAGCGCGCCGCACTGGCGAGGTTTGGCACCGGAACTGGACGCCTCGCTCTCGCTTCGGCTCAGCATGGAACAGGTGCTTGCATTTAGCGGAATGGCGACGGGATTCATGACGGATATCTCCTCGCCGTTGGGTCCAAGTATGACTGTGCTCAAGGGGTACGGCACGCCAGAGGCGGAAGAGGAGGAGGGCAACGAAGCGACGTACGACTTGCCAATCGTCTTGTTCAATGTAGGCGCCGATGCCCTGCTCGAAGCTTTTGGGAGCATGTTTCTGCTCAGAAAAGACACATTCATCCTCCTCAACGCTTCCTTTCCGCACCGCATTCACAGACCGCAATGGGTCGACCAAAGGGCGGATCGATGGGCCATTTATGCGCGCCAGCCCACAAACCTCACCTATCCCGCCATCGAGGGGGCCGAGGTGGATGGCCATGCGTTTTGGCGCTTGGTCAAATTGATGAGCTCAAAGTTGCCAAATTATCATCCGGAAATTTACAACGAGCTGCGAGGCATCAGCAAAGGCTTCAAATGAGGGCGGGACTCGACGGGGGCGCTGCGTCGTGTGAGAGGGGGCTTGGGTGGGGGGGTTTAGAGCGGGGGGCAGAAGTTGATAGGCTCTACCGGCAAAGCTTCTGGCAGCTTCCAAGCGAATGCCGCGATCCCGCGATCCCGCGATCCGAGGTCTCCTGCTCGGCTTCTCCTGGCGTGGCCATCTTCACGTGCTTGTTGGAGGTCCCTCTTCATGCTCGCTTCTCAAGGCTGCGAACGACGCACACAATGTTTTCCCTGTCGCACAACCCTTCGCACCCCCACCCCGCGAGACGTGCTGTGGACACCTCTCCCGCCGCGCTTGTAACCTTTTGATTGTGATTCTGATTGTAGCTCTAGACGGTGTGGATTTTGTCATCGATGTCGTCATCTCGTGATGAGCGCACGGGCGTCCATCTCGCAGTCAATAGCCAGGGTACGCCCGAGATAAGTGTTAATTTTAGAAGGGGAACGTGTATTGCAAAACCTTTCGCTGTTGGGGGGGG